CCCACAGAGCCCACCTGTGGTTTATACTGCAACTATGCTGAGCAGACTTTAGTTACAGTTCTTGGAGAGAGCGTGTTATCTAGCGTGATTACCAAATTAAACAAGGCAAGCCCAGACTTGTGGTTTTGGGTTATCGACGGACCCCAAGAATTCCGTCTATCCAATTTTACTCACAAGGCTTGGGTCAAACCATGGTATGGTTTCCAGTCCGCAGGCTGGGATCGACCTCGATTCAGTCCGATAAAAAATCCTGGTATATTTTTTAGTTTGTCATTCTTGCTAAGTAGGTCTAGATTTTTTGTAATTTCTGTAAATAGTTCTGGATTTTTTACGTTTCTTTGGACTTCGTAGTTTTTTTTTTTTTTTTCAATTTCGAAACCTTTGTTTATTAGTGTTGTGGGGTAGCCTCATTTTTTAGTGTTCTATCTAGTTCTCGTAGGCTGGTTTTTCGGAGGTGTTTGTCAGTCACTATAGTACAAACTATACGTGCTAGAGAATAGGGGATAGATTTTAGGCAGCTTTTTTGGTTATGCATCTTGAAATGAAGATATTGCTGGGTGTCTATAGGTTTGTGGTAGACATCTGTGATTATGTGGGTTTTTTATTTCTAAGGAGTATATCTAAAATGGTAATTCGTTGAAATTATATTCCTGGAACAATCAAGAACTATTTACAGAAATTACAAAAATCTAGACCTACTTAGCAAAAATAACAAACTGAAAAATATGCTAAAAACAACTATAATAATTAAAAGAAAACGCCAATCTAAAAACCTGAAACATATATTAACCTTATACAAGTTTAACCAACATGCAATACAGGGAGTCACAAAATGCAACAAAAAAGATGTGGGGGTTGTGACATTATTATAGAAGGAAACTCCTACACTTTTGAAAGCCCCAAAAGGACATTCATAATAAATAAAAATTCAATCTTCAACTCTAAAAATGTGATTTATGCCCTCAAATGCTCAAAATGCAAGGAGTCATAGATAAGTACCAGCTAAGCACTAAACAACAGAGTTTCCCTTCATAAAAGCAACATCAAATTACCAGACAATGAAAACTCTTTCTATCACATATCTATAAATGTAACCAGGGTGAATTTAAAATTATGCCAATATATCAAGCAGACAATTATTCTTACCTGCAAATACAAGAAAAAACTTCATAAACAAATTTAAATAAGCCCTAAATAGATCATAACCCCCACAAAAAACACACAACATGCACACATAATGTCCAAATACAGTGGTCGATCCATTTACAAGGATACGCACGCACACACACTCACACCCGGGTATCTGTGGAGGATGAATATATATAAACATATTGGTAAAAACAAATAGACTACTCACAAGCACACACACGGACCCTACACAACAAAGGGAGTGTGTGTACGTGTATGTATGTATAAATGTATGTATATATACGTATGTGTGTGTATATATATATGTATGTATATATGTGTATATTATTCCTTATAATAAGACAGTATGCATGTATGTAGAGGGAATACGTATGTACATAGGCATAATAACAAAAACACACACAATACAAAAATGGAAATAAATCTAAGAGCACACAGGTGTCATTAAAAGATAAGAATACAGATATCTTTTCTCACTCTTTCTAGGACCAATCTTAATTGTTTAATTAACCTTCAAGCAAAAGAACTTATTCACTGCCAGTCCAAGAAAGACATTTGTGTCACTAACACACACAAAGAGAATGTTTAACATCGAGAAAGTTTAACATCGAAAAACATAAGGAAAAATAATTTATTTTAATAATATTTGGAAATATCCACTCTTTGCTTGAAGAAGGCCGTGAGACCCGAAACACGTGTTGCAAAATTATGGAAAATAAAGTATAACAAATCCACATTACAACCAAAAATGTTTTCGGTTTCTCTTTCATTTTTAATATATATATATATATATATATATATATATATATGTGTGTGTGTGTGTGTGTGTGTGTGTGTGTGTGTGTGTGTGTGTGTGTGTGTTGCGCGATGGCTAAATTGTTAATTTTATATTTTAATTTCGCGCATGCGCATTATTTGTTTTTAATTTTATTTTAACGAACCCAGTCAATGGTGTCTGACAATTTTTGTGACCACATCATCCTTTGCATCTGGCCACCTAACCCCCCAGACTGCAACCTCCTGGATTATAATGTCTGGGGCACAGTTGGGGAAGAGAGCAACAAAACTTCTTGCAACACCAAATGTGAATTGAAGACAAGGATTATGGCAGCATTCCCTTACTTATACAAGAATACCGCCCAGAAGAGTTGCAGGAGATACCTAAGTTGTCTGGAGGCCACGGTTGAATCCAATGGCGATTTTATTGAATAAATTTACTCTTTTGTATTTCAAGTTATTTTTGTGTAATTTTTAATAAATATATCTGTTAAAATGAAATGTCAGGGTTAGCTTCGTTTCTGCGTCATTTAGACGACAACTTATCTATCGCACTCAGTATTTGTGAATAGCAAATTAAGTATTTACTCTGTCTTTCCACTAAGACGAGTTGTGACACAAGGTCAGTTTTTAAAGTGGGGACCCGAGCGCGTACACCGGGGCAAGAAACAAAAATTACCCGCAGCCCCGCGACCGTTGGTTTGCTGACCTCGGTGCGAGCACCGATTCCTCTCTCTGGTATAATGAGAAGATGCGCCCTTGGGCAGTTGTTCCCCAGGACTGGGCACTTCTCTGTATAATTTTCCTCAATTGCGACTGTCTCCTTTGACGCAGACGCCCCTGAGCGCACTCTGTCCAAAGACAGAGACGCAACTGAGAGATGATAAATAATGCGTTACAAACCACTCAAGAGATTGATTTACACACTTATGTGAATAGCACACTATAACAGAAGAGTCGATTCCATAGAGACGGGCAATTCGCCAGTCTTTGTTGAGTTGGCATTTCCTGTGAACTAAAATTTATAATTCTTAATTGGTGTGTAACGAAACGCCGTTACCGAATGGAACGGCATTCGTTTGAAAATTTCAAGATTTTCTCAATAAGCGGAATCTGTTCGTGCATTCATTGTCTATATCTTGATAAACAGAAATAGGTGTAACATAGTTTAGAAAAGAGAGAGACAAGACCGTTCTACAACGAACTACTATCTACTCTGTGTTAGAAAGTGAATGACAATGATTTTTTTTTTTTGCAGTTTGTATCGAGTTTGCTGGTCTGAGATATTGTATTAATGAACTGAGAGAACTGGACAAAATATAGTTCGTTGCACGCAAGACAGAGTATGCCCGAGGAATAAAATGGTCTCCAGAGGGGAAACGAGACACGTCTTGTCACTAAGACATCCCGTAGTCGAAAGCAGAAAAAAGTGGAATAGGATTTGTGACGTTTCTTTTCATGTTCCTTTATCCTCCTCTTTCTGCTCCCTCTCCTCCTCCTACTTCTCCTCCTCATCATAATCATCATTCTCATCTTTCGACCTCCCTATGGTTCAACTGAACACCACTGAGATTTCCCTCTCGGCTCGGTGGCAGCGGCCGGCAAACTGTAATTGTGTTCGTTTTAGTTTAAAACAGATTGACTCAGTTCTCCATAAATTGTGTTGAGCGTTGTTGGGATCTCCAACTCATGTTCTGGATTTTTTTCTAAGTTCTTTTATACAACGACAGCATGCGGATATTAAGATAAGCACCCGTGGCAGAAAAAGCGGTGCAACCACTCGGATGAATAGAACATTCTATTTTTAGATTAATAAACTAAGTAACTTAAAGTTACTAATATTCTGTACTTACAATCAAGGAAAGTAATTAAATAAATCTTTCAAATTTTATGACATTGGTAAAAAGGTTAAAGTTAAAAAATAAATAAAAGTTGTACACCCGCGATAAAAAAAACCCGCGATAAAAATCCGCGATAAAAAAAAAAACGCGATAAAAAACCGGCGATAAAAACCGGTGATAAAAATCCGGCGATAAAAAACGGTGATAAAAAATGGCGATAAAATCCGGCGATAAAAACCCGCGATAAAAAACCCCGCGATAAAAATCCGCAATAAAAACCTGCAATAAAAACACGCGATAAAAAAACCCGCGATAAAAACACGCGATAAAAACCCGCGATAAAAACCCGCGATAAAAAACCGCGATTAAAAATACGCGATAAAAACCGGCGATAAAAACCCACGATAAAAAACCGGCGATAAAAACCCGGAATAAAAGCTATAAAACGTCTGAGAAACAGTCAAAAGACTTAAATATAATTGAATACAATTGAAAAGAATTTATATATATATAATTTTAATACAGTTTAAATATTTATTTAAGCTTAACATAAGATTCATTACAACTACAGTATGAGGCAAAAAAATGAACGCACCCACAGAACGTCGATTTTTGTATTTTTACCAAGACAAGTGAGTAATAGAATTCGTTTATTAATACAGAGTATTAATACAGGTGTTCATATGTACATTATACAAGTCAAAAAATGATTTAGCATTTTGTTTGGTAACCTTTTGCTTTACCGACCCAAATTTCTCGCGGTAATGCTGTAGTCTAAATTCTTTAGTAAGTCAACGTCCTTCGTTAAATTTTTCCGGCATTTCTTTAATTCGCGAAAAAGCTCATCAGTGTTAACTTTCCTATTAAGGTCACGTTTGTCCATTATCGCCCAAAGGTTTTCAATTGGGTTGATGTCAGGACTCTGACTCGGCCAATGGAAGAGTTTCAATTTACCTTCGTCACGCTTCCTCTCTAGATAACGTTTATTTTTTAAATCAGTATGTTTAGGATCGTCATCGTGTTAGAACGTGAAGCGTTGACCTAAGGCAAAAAGGTTTTTAGAAGGAGGCCATATATGATTAACAATAATGTGGTATTGATGCTGGTTCACGATTCCCTTGATTTTGTACAAATTACCAACTCCTGATGCTGAAAATTGCACCCCAAACACAGATTTTTTATCGTGTTTAACAGTGCCTTTGGTAGTCAATATCTATCTATCTTGGTCTCGTCATGTCTATCTGTGTCTATTGGTCTCTTCATATCTATCTATCTATCTATCTATCTATCTATCTTGGCCTCTTCATGTCTCTCTCCTGGACTCTTCATATCTATCTATCTATCTATCTATCACAATATATATTTGTTTGATTTAATTTGTTTTACGGCATATCAACCTCAGTGGGGTTTTTTTTAATGCTGAGAAGATTTTGATTGCTGGTAATAATTTTTTCCAAAAATGTATTGCTGGCATTAGTTTTTCCTTCAAAAATGTATTACTGGTAATTTTTAAAAAATGTATTGCTGGTAATATATTTTCCTTCAAAATTGTATTGCTGTTAATATTTTTTCATTATTTACATTATTCGGACTATTGTCCTCATCTTTGTCGCCATATTTATCACAACGTTTCGGCCGTTGTACGTTCCGGCCTTCTTCAGGTGGTTGGAATGTCGAACTGAACCCTTTATTTCGTTCACTGGGGTAGACTGTTCTAGTTACACGTGCCATGTTTGATGGATCTCAGCTATCAGTTATCTCCTGTTAATTTTCCCTCTGAAAGTTCTCCACTGCCTTAACCACCTGAAGAAGGCCGGAGCGTACAACGGCCGAAACGTTGTGATAAATATGCCAACAAAGATGAGGATAATAGTCCGAATAATGTAAATAATGTACATAATACCTCATCTCAGAAATATAGACAGACTCTAATATTTCTTCCTTTAAAAATGCATTGTTGGTAATATTTTATTCTTTGAAAATATATTATGGCTAATATTTTTTCATTCAAAAATGTATTGCTGGTAATATTTTTTCAAAAATGTATTGCTGGTATTAAAACCTATTTCTAAACTTTCATGGCGTTTTCACTCCAGTTTGGTGGGAACAACTATTTGCTATAGTTGGGACACTAACAGGTGCTACCATCCCGGTTCAGGGTGGACCTAGGAACACCAGCAATTAAGAGTTGGTTTCATACTCCCCCAAACCACTTTATCAGAGGCCTTGCTGTTGGATGTAGTTTATCGTCTTACCCAGGACGCGAATGTAGTTTAGCTTCATACCCAGGACGCCGATGTTGTTTATCGTCTCACAGAGGACGCTTGACATTCATCTTCTCTATCACCCCTCCTCTGATTCCCAAGCATGTTTCCTCGAAACGATGCTTCGACTACTGCCCCTCGTGAAATAAAGCAAGTAGAAAGAAAATGCTAGTCGTTAAACTAGTCTGTGGTTGAGGATTGAAGAAGTAAAACAAGAAACGACACGATAAACTGCATAGTTATTGAAGATTAAGTTTGGAAAATTCCAGAAACTAATGAAAGCTAAGTTTTCAAGACTTTGATGTAGCCATTCAGCTTTTGATAGGTTTCCTTACACAGAAGCTTCAAAGACATTGTCGATCAAACAAACCTGAAAAGATCTTAACAGCAGGTCTACATTTCTTTTGACGAAGTGAATGAAAAATATCTCTAATATTGTGCAGTAACTTATTTCTCGTTCGATAAATTGCGCGTAAACACGGTTATAGATATCTTTCATATTTTATTTGATTATATATATATATATATATATGTGTGTGTGTGTGTGTGTGTGTGTGTGTGTGTGTGTGTGTGTGTGTGTTCTATAAAGCTGTTGTCCTCTCAAATTCCGTATATGCCTGTGATACTTGGAAATCCACCACAAATCTTATCCAACTCTTAGTTCCATTTAATATGCTTTCACAAAATCCTAAAGATGTCTTGGAGAGATAGAATCGGTAACGAGAAAGTGCCAAAAGGTGCAAATTCTAGAACCTTTGGTGTAATGGTAGCAGATTGGCAGATACAGTTCACCGGCCATATACTGCAACTTCCTAACAGACGGCCAGGCAAAGTTGCTCTAAACTGGATACCTTAACGTTGAGAAAGATCAAAGGGGTCGTTCTAAAATGGCGCTATACGGTTAAAGATATACCGAGAAAAAGAAACAGCAATTGGGTTCAGGCTCCACAACTTGACCAAGATCCATCTAAACGGAGGAAAATTAAGTTCCTTCGCTTTGTAACGGCGAGAAGAACAAGGTAACATGCTAACAAGGTAACAAGGTAACGATATACCGGGTGTAACAGCAAAACTGTCCAAATCGTGTAACAGCAAAATTATCAATCCCACAAAATGTTTAATATGTAAAAAAAAATCACTAAACTGGGTTTCGTTTTTTCCAGGTTTTCAGGTAAGACGTTGAGCCATCACAGAAAAACCCTTTGAGTTATGCAGCGAGAAAGAGAACAGTTTAAAATCGCTTTGTGTCAGACCCAATGTCTGAGCAACTGACTAATGGCTAGAGGAAAATGATCATTCAATAATGGTACAAACATTCAGGCACTGGCTTCCGTTTTCAAAGTCAATTCAGGACCATCAAGAGAATGGTGAATAAGATTTTTAAAAGTGGGAACAGCAGGAAGGAACACAGGAAGCGGGATCATCATTTCAGCTAAAGAGATCAATTAGAAAAGATCCAACCCAATACATAAGATGCTTGGCACGTGAGAGAGAAGTTTCAGTTATTACAGTCCGAAGAGCAACGAGAAAACACTTGAAAATAAAAACGTACGTGAAAACTGAGGCACCTTGTTACTTCAAGGCAGAGAGATAGAAAGTTAGAGAGGGCGAAGATGGAAAATGATACTGGAATAGTATATATATATATATATATATATATATATATATATATATATATATATGTGTGTGTGTGTGTGTGTGTGTGTGTGTGTGTTTGTGTGTGTGTGTTTGGACTTAATTTCAATCTATTATGCGTCATGATTAATTAATGATGAACATGACATTTTCATTTATGATCGATTTCATCACGATTCTTCTGTTAAGCTTGGAGAGTAATTATACATTCTTTTTGCTCAAAGTGAAGTTCAATAGTGTCATAAAAACCTCGGTGAATTCCGGTAAGATATATTTAATCATTTCTAAGATAGAACGGTTCGAAGCTTAATCTAACAATTGGAGAATTTTGCTGTTACATGTTTTGGAGAATTTTGCTGTTACAACCGGTGTATGTGCGATGTCCCACTCAAATGTTTTGGGAACTTCAGTTGCGAAATATCCTCTGTATAAGCAGACTAAAACGATGGGAAATAAGGTTACTTATTGCATGGTGGGTTGACTTTTCTTCCAGAAAGACTGGAGCAAAGGTTGCGTAAACTTACAGATGATCAGATGATCAAATGAAAGAATATGCGGTAAGATTGCTTTAGTATGCTTTATGGCATATCAACACCTCAATGGGTTATTTAATGCCGATAAGATGTTTATTGCTAGTAATATTTTTCTCTTTCAAAATGTATTACTGGTAATAATTTTTCCGAAAATAGTATTGCTGGTATTAAAACCTATGTTTATATTTTCATAGTGTTTTCAAGATTATTATTACTGGTAATATTTTTTATCTATCTATCTATCTATCTATCTATCTATCTATCTATCTATCTATCTATCTATCTATCTATCTATCTATCTCAGTACATATTGGTTTTGTTTTGTTTTACGGCATATCAACCTCAATGGGTTATTTCATGCCGACAAGATTTTTATCGCTGGTAATATTTTTTATCTATCTATCTATCTATCTATCTGAAACATTTTCTGGCTATCCGGGAACATTGATGTGAAGTAATGGTTTCTTCATTATCTATCTATCTATCTATCTTGGTCTATCCATGTCTAAGTTTCTCTTTTGATCTCTTCATATCTACCTGTCTGTCTTTTTGTCTGTCTGTCTTGGTCTCTTCATGCCTATCTGTATCTCTTGGTCTCTTCATTATCTATCTATCTATCTATCTATCTATCTATCTATCTATCTATCTTGGTCTATCCATGTATATTTGTCTCTCTTGACCTCTTCATATCTATCTATCTATCTATCTATCTATCTATCTATCTGTCTAAGTATATATTGATTTGCTTTGTTTTGTTTTACGGCATATCAAATTCAATGGGTTAATACCGACAACATTTTTATTGTTGGTAATATTTTTATTATCTATCTATCTATCTATCTATCTATCTATCTATCTCAGTCTATTTCTATCTATCTATCTATCTATCTATCTATCTATCTATCTATCTATCTATCTATCTTAGTATATATAGGTTTCGTTTGTTTTGTTTTACTGTATATCAACCTCAATGGATTATTTAAGATTTTTATTGCTGGTAATATTTTTTATCTATCTATCTCAGTATATATTTGTGTGGTTTTATTTTGTTTTATGGTATATCAACCTCAATGGGTTATTTAATGTCGGCAAGATTTTTTACTGCTGGTATTTGTTTTTAAATGTACTGCTCATAATATTTTTTCCTTCAAAAATCTGTTTCTGATATTTTTTTTTCGAAAATGTATTGCCGGTAATACTTATTTAATTTACTGCTGGTAATACTGTATTGCTGGTAATACTGTATTGCTGGTAATAATTTTTCCTTCAAAAATTTATTGCTGGTAATAATCTTGTTACAAAACATTTCTGGTATTAAATCACATTTTTACACTTTCATATTGTTTTGACCCCAGTTTGGGGGTTAACTATTTGCCAATACTTCGAACCCCTAACAGGTTCTACCACCTTGGGTTATGGCGGGAGTTGGAAAACCAGCAATTAAGAGGTTGTTCCACGCTCCTCAAAACCTCCTAATCAGAGGCGTTGCTGTTGGACGTAGTTTATCGTCTTATCCAGTACGCGGATGTAGTTTATCTTCATACCCTAGACTGTTCTGCTGTTTCCGGTTCCTTTTTAATCTATGAGGAGATTATCCAGTATACTCTACGATAAGGAGGATAAGGGTCCAGTACGCTTTTCTTTGTTTCTAACGAAATTTTCTTGCTTCGTAATACATTGCTTAGCTTTTCGAAAGCATCTTCCCCTATACCAATATGCCTTCAGATTTCGTTGTTGCTTTTTCCATCCTCTATTAAAGTACTGCCCAGATATATAAATTGTTGTACTTGCTTGATCTTGGCATGTCTAATTTGTAATTCACGGGGTGGGCTGCTTTGGAACTGATAACCATACATACTTCAGTTTGATATAATTGATTTTTTTCCACGAAAATAAATAAGCGATGGGGTTGGAATAAGAGCGGGGAGGTTGGAATTTCTTTTGCTGAATACTAGGCATACGAGATTTGTTTTTCGTTTGGGCCTTCTGCCCTGCGCCACCGCATGAATTGTTTCAAGAATTCGTTCAAGAAGATGAAGAAGACGTCAGTGTGTTGCCGTGGCAACTCGTCTATCCTGATCACATTTCGCGCAAATGGGATGCTTCCGAGCCAAAACGTTCGCAGAGACTTTATTCCGTAACCAGCAGAAGCAGAAATAGTTGTTGTTAATATCCGGAGATCAGATTCCGAAAGAAAACTTTAGAGATCATACAAACGCTATGCCTGATTGTGGAAGAATCTTTTGCGGTAACCTCGAAGACTGGTAATTTAGAAAGGGGTCTACAATATCTTAGCGTATCTATCTATCTATCTATCTATCTATCTATCTATCTATCTATCTATCTATCTATCTATCTATCTCAGTCTGTTCATTATCTATCTATCTATCTATCTATCTATCTATCTATCTATCTATCTATCTATTTGCAGAATGAGAGTGGAGAACGTTTTAACAAATATCTGTTGATATTTGTCCCAAACTCTTTCTTTCTTTCTTTCTTTCTTTCTATTTGGGGAATGAGGAGAAACGTTTTAACAAATATCTGTTCTATCTATTTCTCCCAAACTATCTATCTCTTTCTTTCTTTATCTTCTATTTCTATCTATTTATCTATCTATCTATCTATCTAGGTTGATCTATCTACTATCTCCAGTTTTAATAAATACCCCAGTCTGTTCATATCTATCTATCTATCTATCTATCTATCTATCTATCTATTCTATTTATCTATCTATCTATCTATTCTATCTATCTATCTATCTATCTATATCTCAGTCTATTTCTATCTATCTATCTATCTATCTATTTCTATCTATCTATCTATCTATCTATCTATCTATCTCTGCCTATTCGTATCTATCTATATATCTCAGTCTATTTATATCTATCTATCTATCTATCTATCTATCTATCTATCTATCTATCTATCTTGGTTTGTATCTATCTATCTATCTATCTATCTCTGCTTATTCGTATCTATCTGTATATCTCGTTTTACTCTTATCTATCTATCTATCTATCTATCTATCTATCTATCTATCTATCATCTATCTTCTCTCTCTCTCTCTCTCTCTATATATATATATATATATATATATATATATATATATATATACTTTCATATATCAAGAACAATATTGGTTAAAATGTATGACAATGTGTAAAAGGTTTCTCCTGTGGCTCGTTTCGTCATTTAGGACGTAATCGGAATAAATTTGTTATGTTTGTATGACTACAAGTACAAGGGATGCTGGGAATTTTAAATTTAATTTTTTTTTCATGTCCGATCTCTTACAGCATCTCACCGTTCCCGAAAGAACTTCTAATTACATTGTGGCTTATCTACTAAGAAAAGTGTTGCAAAGAAAAAAGAATCTCAATGAAATCGGACTTTCGAGTCTTGACCGAATTCCAAAGCGTCTCCGAATCGGAGAAGAATTATTTTTCTCCTTCCAACCTCTCCCTCACAGGCGGGAGGTGACGATTCCCTGACTGTTCTGTCGCTACTTCCATGGAAAGTTCTCAGACGAACTATATTCCTTGATTCCACCTGGTAAGGACTTGCCATACCATTTACATTGTAGAAAACCACTCACATCCCCTCTGTATTCCATTGGTGAGAAATAAGTTTCACTCAAACACCTTCTTCCCGTGAACCAGGGCTCTGTGAGACTGACTTCCAAGAGGATGTGTCCGCGATCACAACAATCTTTACCTATTCTCGTCTAGAATCAACCGTTATGCTCCTCTCCTATCCGTATAAATTACCTCTTAACATAGCCATATAACTTGATTGGCTCCCGGGCCTTGTACATTTACCTTTCTCTACATATATGCCGTCTGTACCGGCGAGGTTTAGACTGCTCGGTAGCAGAGCGCGTTGTGAGAGGATCTAAACAAGAGGATGTGCATTCTTCAAAAGGTTATTTCAATCTTACTGGGCTGTGACGATGTCCATCGACAGGTCACTCAGTAGCTTCTAGTATAAAAGATTCATGTTCAAACTGTGCTGGAGAGAACATTTTCCTTAAGTCTCTCGAATGCACAGGCCGGTAGATGTAATTTGCAATGTTAAAAAAAAAAATCAAGTCGTATCCTCAAACATTGTTATCCACAAAATAATATTTGGAGTAGCAGAAAATAATTTTTAATAAAAAAAAATCCATTGATTCTTTAGAAATTCTATTTGCAGTGTGTTTATATTTGGGAAGCAGTCATTCTTTTATGCAGGTTTCGTTAACTTGCATTATATCAGTCGTCTTTTAAAGAAAAGCTTCTCTCTGCTAAAAGTCTCTAAACCTATGACAGTATTCGCATCCCTCGCTTCATAATTCTCTCAAGCTCCAGCCTATTTAAAATACTGCTTTTCGAGATTGGCATACCGTGTCTGCTGGATAGACTGGCGCTGCCCTGTTTTCTTAACTTTTATTCATTCTGTCTATATCTGGGATGAAGATGAAATAATTGACAGAGAGCATCATTGGAAAATAAGAAAACTTAAGGTATCAGCACATATGCTCGGCCGCAAAAACCACCTGAGCCGACCAAGCATAGAAAGGAATAAAATATGGGAACCAGTAATAAAGGGTACTAGAGAAAAGCAATGAATAACATTATTCGGACTGTTATCCTCATCTTCATTGCCATATTTACAACGTTTCTGTCGTTGTACATCCCAGCCTTCTTCAGGTGATTAGAATTATCGAATCGAACCGTTTATTTCGTCCACCAAATGAGATTGTTCTAGTTCTCCGTGCCATGACACTTCCAGACAGTTATTTCCCTTTAACTCAAACTATCCAATTTTTTGTTTCACCACAGCAGACATCTGGAAGAGGCATGACACGTGGAACTAGAACAATCTACCCCCGATGGACGAAATAAAGGGTACGATTCGAAATTCCAATCACCTGAAGAAGACCGAAGCGTACAACGGCGGAAACTTTGAGAACATGGCCATGAAGATGAGGATAACAGTCTGAATAATGTAAATAATGTAAATAATCATAATACCTCATCTCAGAGATATAGACAGATATTGAAGACCGGAGCGTACAACGGCCAAAACGTTGTGAATATGGCAATGAAGATGAGAAGAACAGTCCGAATAATGTAAATAATGCAAGTAATCATAATACCTCATCTCAGAGATATAGACAGGTATCGTTAAATATGGCGAACAAGGATTATTTTGTTAGGGTTTTTGATTTAATTTTTCTTGTATCCTTATAATCTATCTTATTTGAGAACTGAGTTTGTGTAAAAAATTGTTCATAGTATTTATTTTCACGCGCGCTTTTGGTTAATAATTTAGTCACTCCAACAGTTGTTGTTTAAAACGTATATTTTTATGGGGGTAGGGTGTACTGCATCGACGTTAGAGTGATTTTTAGATAAAAAAAATCTTATAAATAAGAATACGTGTCTGTTATTGTTTTATTTATATTTATCCAGCTTTTTATTATATTTTTTATTATTATTAATTTTATGCGAATGCACTTAGCAATTTTAGGTCAACGGGCCTCATTTGCACGGCAAGTAACGGCCATTCAGTGTTTGATATAACACTTTACAAGTCTCTAATACAAATGAAAAAAAAAAAAAGAAAGAAAATTCAGCATTTTTGGGAACGCCGCCGGTGATTAGAACGAATCGATTGGGCTGTTTGATTCATGTCGATTTGATTCAATATCTTTTACAGTAAATATATTGTACGTGAGGCATTTTTCTCTTCTTTTTTTTACCAAACGTTCTTACTCTCCACTACACTCTCCTTCTCTCGCTCTCCTTCTTTCTCGCTCTGCTACTCTTTCCCGCTCCCAGTTCTTCTCTCTTTTTTTCTCTTACTCTCGCTCTATCTCTCACTCCATCGATTTCTCTTGCTCTCTTCTCTCTCTCTCTCTCTCTCTCTTTGACACCAGCTCTCTTTCTTTGTTTTCGCCTTCGCTATCTCTTTTTTTCTTTTGCCTTCTCACTATCACTTCTTTAATCTCCCTTTAA